TGCCGCACTTGCGTGGCGACGTGCGCGTACGTGCCGAAGGGCGTCACACCGTGCGCGTCGTGCGTGTCGTGCGGCGCCGCGGTGGTCGCACATGCGCTGGCGAACACGTCGCTGCCAGGCCACCCGCGCAATGCTGCGTCACCACTGGCAGCAGAGGGGTCGTGCGTGCGCAGCTACAGCAGCTACCACGCCGCCCGGGCGCAGTGGGAGGCATGGCGCCGCGACGACAAGAGTCACCCGGTCGAGTTGTGAGAAACCGCGCGCTTTTCTGTTTTTCGTGGTCGCATTGTGCCGCCTGTTTTCCTTGATTGGCCTACGCATATATACATATATATAATTGTGTGCGCGGGTGCGAGGGGGGGAAGGCGCAAGGGGGTTGCTTTATGCTGCACGGCAACCCGAACTGCTGCTGCTCCGACGGCTGGTGTTGCTGGTGGCACCAAGGTACAACAAGGAGATGGAAACAAAAAAAGAAGCCCGTGGACCGTGAGGGGAGAACATTCAACGGCGTCACTTTCATGTGAGTTTGGCAGTTGTTGTTGTTGTTTTTGTATGGGCCCCGCCTTTCTTTCTTCTCTCTTGTTTCTCCCGCTTGTTCGGTGTATTACTATTTGATGCAGTGCTTGAGATAGTTGGTCGCACCAAGAATCACATGGCGCAGCGGAATTGGTCGCATACTGGCCAGTGGCAACAACAGCCGCAGCAACAGATGATGCAGCAGCTGCCACCCGGTGCATCGCCGCAGTGGCAGGGAGTGCATAGCGCGTCAACCAGTATGCAACTCCCAGCGTCGGCCCCGCAGCAGTACGATCCTCAGCTTTTGATGCAGCAGCAGCAGCAGTACCAGCAGCAGCAGCACCAACCTGGGATGATGCCGCCTGGGATGCCACCGTCGTGGGGGCCACCGATGTACCAGCAAACGTACTCCCAGCCGGTATACGGGCAGCAGGCGTACGCCCAAACCAATTGTATGGACCCAGTCTGCTGCCCCATGCCCGGGCAACCCAACCCGTGCGACTGTTGCTGCTCCCCTGGACCCGGCTGCTGCAACAACGGTCCGGTGGATCCGTACTGCTGTGGGCCCCAGACGAATCCTGGCTGCACGGATTGCATGTCGTCTGTCTGCGACATTACATACTGCACGACGATTTTCTTCACCGTGGTGAGCGTGGTCGGTTTTATTGTCGTCTTGGTATTAGGTAAAAGTGACGACCTTTTTTCCAAGTATGACGTATCTGACACCACCGCCCTTCAGGCGGCAATACAGAAGGATATTATACCAACGACTGGATGCACGTCTAGACGCCTGTTGGCAGTGTTTGGTACCGTTTGCATGGAGGGGAATCTCAACGCTAACACACTTGTTGTTCAACTCAGTACATGGAATACAGCAAGGGACACCATGTATTTCCTTGCCTTGGTGTTCAGCATATTCACAGTTGTGTACGCCACCATAGTGGACTGCCAGCGGCAAAAGGTTGAGGCGCTCTCGAATGAAAGCATCTGTTCACAGCAACAACAACAACAACAGCAACAACAGCAGGTGGGTAAGCAGTCGCCGGAGAAGATGAGCCGAGACGGGAGGCGTGGGTCCCTTACGGTGCCGCCACCACCACCACCACCACCACCACCTTCGCTGCCGCCAACGTCGATTCCATTCATGAGGGGCCCTATTAAAGTGTGGGGCACGCCTTTTTATGANCAACAGCAGGTGGGTAAGCAGTCGCCGGAGAAGATGAGCCGAGACGGGAGGCGTGGGTCCCTTACGGTGCCGCCACCACCACCACCACCTTCGCTGCCGCCAACGTCGATTCCATTCATGAGGGGCCCTATTAAAGTGTGGGGCACGCCTTTTTATGAATTTATGCGTGTCGCGTGGTTCGTGATGGGCGTGGCCGTGTTCTTTTGGGCGTGCGGTCTGTTGGCGTCCTTCTGGGCCTTCTCGTCCTTCTATCGCAACTCCACGAAAGGGAAGTTGCGTGAGTTCTTTGACGACTACCATGTCCGCTTCAGTGCCACTGTCATCTGCATCACGGTGTACCTTGCGTGGCCGCTCCTAAACATCTTCGTGGAGGCAGTGCTGTGGATATTGTTTGTCTTGCCTTGGCTCCTCTTCCGCACCTTATGCAAGCCGGGAATTGGCAACATGCGCCCCGCATTGCCGCTGGAGGAGATGCCTGGCTACATCCGACTCGATATGTTCTTCACAGACTTCAACGATGTGAAGCGCGTCGGTTTCTCCGAGCCTGCGTGGCGCCTGATGACAGGTAGCTCGTTGCCGTTCCTCTCCTGCTGCGAGGACCCAATGGTGGACCGCGACCCGGCGATGACGGCGTGGCACCACCAGCAGCAAGAGTGGTTCGCGCGGTTGCAGGGCGTGTACCCGATGGGGATGGGCGCCCCCGCGCAGTGTGC